TCCAAACTCATTGTCATTTTCAGAATCTTCGTTAAATTTCCAATAGTAATAGTACCAATTCATTGAGATTAAACATCTGCATAAGCCCTTATTTGACCATGGAAGTTTGAATTTGTGATTTTTTATAAAAAATTAATAACTTTTTCCAAAGTTTTTCTATACTACACTGGACTGTAGAGAGTGTCAAATATCACTAAAAACTTCAGCAGTTAATAACCTTTAAAATGATGTATAAACATCTACTGTTCCTTTGATTTGTCGTTCTCAAATTTAAGAGTTTCTCATGCAAAACACGGAACGGCTAATATTAAATTTCCTTTAAAATAGCATGTATTTGCTTAAATAATATGGCAATAGCTGCAATAACAGTTATATTTGAATAGGGTCTATTGTAATTTTTAGAATCCTTGTTAGATTTATTATAAGAATATTAAGAATCTATTAGGATTAACATCCATATAAACGTATGTTTTGTGAAAACATGTTAAATTAGTTTTATTTTTATTTTTTGAATACATTGAATATTGTTTAAAGTTACACATGGTACATTTAACTTAAGATTTGTTTAAGCCTAAGCAAATACTTCCAATATGTATTTATCTTTGACTCAGGCTAAAGACAGTAAATGTTTATGGAAACTTATAAATAGTTTTAAGATTCAAAGTCCTAATACAGGTGGTCAAGTCAGCCCAAACGAATGGTTAGAACACTTTAAGAGTCTCTTGAACCCGCCCCTGCTGTCAGCCAATGTCTGTTATGCGCTTCCTCTTATTCAAGACGACTTTCTAGATAAAGAATTTAATTTGAATGAATTAAAAACAGTTTTATTGAAAGTAAAGAATGGTAAGGCACCAGGAGCTGACGGAATACCCTACGAGTTCTTTAAAAATGGTTCAGAGTCATTTTTAGTTAAGTTGCTGAATTTTTATAACAATATTTTCAAAACTAATAAAGTACCGAAAAGTTTTAAACAATCAATTATCTATCCTCTGTTTAAGAAAGGTGATAAAAACATTGCACAAAATTATAGGGGTTTATCATTTATAGATTGCGTAGCTAAGTTATACACAAGTTTACTGCACAACAGATTAAATCTTTGGATAACAGATCATGATAAGCTGTGTGAATATCAGGCTGGTTTCAGGAGTGGCTATTCGACAATTGATAATGTTTTTATTCTTTCAAATGCTGCAAAATTGTGTCTCAGTAAAAAAAAGGGTAAATTATATACTTTTTTTGTAGATTTTACTGCAGCTTTCGATACAATAGATAGAAATGCTTTGTTTTATAAGTTATCATGTCTTGGTATTTCTACGCATATGTTACGCGTTTTAATGGATTTATATAATGGTACTTCGTCAGCTGTCTGGTGTAAAGATGGAATAACAGACTACTTTGAAACAGGCCTCGGTCTAAAACAAGGAGATGTTTTGAGTCCTTTATGTTTTAACTTATTTGTAAATGACATTATAGATTCATTAAGTGGAGGCTGCATTTTTGGAGATGTTCAAATTAAGGCTTTGTTATATGCTGACGACATTGTGTTGATGGCTCCGACGGGAACCAGTCTGCAGTTAATGATAAATGACCTTGAGAGATATTGTCAACAATGGAACTTGACTGTGAATTTAAGTAAGTCAAAGATTATGGTTTTTAGGAAAGGAGGGAAACTGAGGAAAAATGACAAATGGTATTTTCGAGGTGAAAGAATCGATGTGGTTAATGATTATAAATATTTGGGAATAAACTTAAATTCTAAACTATCCTGGGGTTTGCATTTAAAACACAAGTGCAGCTCTTCAAAATTAGCAATTAACAGTATTTGGAATACATTTCTAAATAACAAAAATGTACCTTTAAGTAAAAAATTCACTATTTATTTTTCAATTGTCAGATCAACTCTTTGTTATGGGTGTCAAATATGGGGTTTATGGGAAAGTGATTATGTAGATGGGACTCTTTGTTATTTTGTAAAGAAAATTTTAGGATTGGCAAAAAATACTCCCAACTATGCATTGTATCTCGAAACTGGACTAGAAAAAGTGTACATTTATACACTCAGCATGCATGCTCGTTACATCATACATGCTCTGTCACTGCCGCCGAACCGTCTACCAAATAAATTAGCAAAGAAAATAATCAGCGAAAATATTTATTGGAGCAGAGATTGGAAGGGTCTTGGAAGTAAACATGGAATTGAATTATCCTTTGATGTGAATTCCATTGAGGATACCCAGCGACACCTGTTATCAGTAGTAGAGGCAGTAAGGGGGGCGAGCAGGCGGGGGTTAGTCCAGGCGGCATTGGCCTCACGATACCACACAACTTATGCTTCACTGAATCTTGACCTTGGAGATAATGGATATCTATCAGATAACGTTCCTGATATTGTTAGACGATGGGTATTCAAAGTAAGGACAGAGACTATTTCCTTAAATTTTAAACCTTGGATGACAGACGCTAATTTTATATGCTCTTTGTGTAATCTAAATGAGAATGAGGACACTTATCATTTTGTTGCTCGTTGTCCAATTTTAACACAAATTAGAAATAAATGGCTATTGAAACCTATTTTAACTCGCTCAGAGTTTATAGATTTTCTTAATGGTAAGGATTGGCGTTCGCTGGCAAATTTTCTTAAAGAGGCTTGGAAGTATAGGTGGGATTTGGTTTTAGAATTCAATGTCTAGCAGCAAAACAATATACATATTATAGCTTATTACAAATATTTCACATGTTTAGTTATAAAATAAACATGTGAAATTAGTATAAAATAAAATGTTGTCAACCCGGCAGACGGTCTTATGACCATTGCTGTAATGTGCTGTTTTTAGTAATTTTGTTGTTGTTATGCAGAAGATTATGTTTAGTTATAAGTTCATATGTATTTATGCAGTTTATTTTTGTGTTAATAAAGCACTTTTTCATTTCATTTCATTTCATTTCATTTCATTCAAATACTTCCAATGGAGTAGCCTATAAAATTATGTAGATACTACACTTTACAATCTTGTCAATATGTTCACCGAAAACCAAAAATTAACCTAGTTCACAAATAATACATTTATACATTTCATATATTACATTTTATGTAATATTATACCAATTAATTGATTGTAGTGCTTAGACACATGCTTATGGAAATAACTCAGTCAAGTGACATATTTCTTAACTAAAATAATTGTTAACACCTCAAAAATACTTAGTTTTAGTTATTTATACAAAAACTAAAAGTTAATTCTAAAACACACAATATTCGAAACTTAAATAACTGTTCCTTACTTCCTTGACGTTTTAATAGTTGCCTTCTATTTAATGCCAACTACTTGAGTTTTTTTTTCAAAATCTCCTCCATTTTCCCAGATACACAGCCAAGCTTTTTTTGCACGTGGCACCAACAGTAACATTAAAATACAACGTTCCTCTGACTAGCACATCTGCATTCATTATCCAGTAGTTAATTTCCTAAATATCTTCTACTAAAGATGAGTAGACCAAGTACTCCACATAACACACAAAGCAAATCTAGTGGACTTAGGTCTGGCGACCTGGCATGCCAGCAAACCACACCATCATTATAATTCTTATCATTCAAGTTGTGTATTTTGCTTTAAGTCAATCTCGCACATCGGTTGAATGTGCCATAGAACTAACACCGTACAGATATTTAATTTATTCCAATAAATAAGTAGATAACCCCCAAAATGAAAATTCATCACAAAACATAGTTTCATAAAGTGTTAATCCTAACAATTCCTCAATATTCTTGTTAGGAATTTTACAAGGATTCTGAGAATTGCAATAATACCCATTTAAACATGATTTTTAAAGCAGCTGCTGCCGTATCATAACAGCCAATACATATTTTTTTATAGGAAATTAAACATTAGCCGTTCCGTGTTTTTCATGAGAAACTCTTAAATTTGAGAACGGCAAATCAAAGGAACAGTAGATGTTTATACATCATTGTAAAGGTTATTAACTGCTGAAGTTTTTAGTGATATTTGACACTCTCTACAGTCCAGTGTAGTATAGAAAAACTTTGGAAAAAGTTTTTAATTTTTTATAAAAAATCACAAATTCAAACTTACATGGTCAAATAAGGGTTTATGCAGATGTTTAATCTCAATGAATTTGTACTATTACTATTAGAAATCTAACGAGGATTCTGAAAATGACAATGAATTCGGAATAAAAACCATGTTTAATGCACTTATGGCCATTTTATGTAAGTAAGTACAAATATTTTGAAAAAATCTTAAATTGTCTGTTATTCCCTACCTGTGAGGGTATGGAAACTTAAATTGGTGCCATTTTGTCACCAATACTTAGTAGTTTAACACATAAAATTTTTTAACACTAACTTCGTTCCACCCTGTATATAATCTAAAAGTTACCTGAAGTAGTTTTAAACACACAGAAAACTAACTGTTATTCGGTTAAACAATGTTCGCATTATTTACCGATTAATCTTACTGATGTCAATGTGCTGCTCATATTCAATGCGTTCTACAGTTTAAATGTTAACTATTTGAGCAACATAAATGAGTTAAGCTATATTTATTTTCTGATTTCTGTTATTTTATTCAATTTCTTCACATTTGAAAACTATGTATGCTATTATTTATGGGTACCTGAAAATAACCGTACAATAGTTTGTTTGAAAAAAAAATGGTTTATTTATTTATTTTATTAATTACATCAAGTAACAAAACAGACATGAGGTTCTTACATGACTCTTCAACCAAGACGACGATTTTACCTGTTTCCTGAAATGCACGTGGGATTTAACTGTCTAAATTACAAATGGCATCTGACTTCATCCTCTTGACAAATTAGTAGGTTGGCCTCTAAAAGTCAACACAGTAAATGTTGTCATCTTCCCTTGCCGCCTCACCGCATGCCTAGGTGATCCGTCGCTATTTCTGCTACCTGCCCACCGCTGGCCCTAGGCCAGTCTACATGGCTGGCCTAGGGCCAAGCACACCTCGGATCCCTCCACCCTTTCTACAGTCTTCATCGCGGGCCGTCCATGCGGAATGGTGTTCTTTCGGGGATTAAGTTGCAACTATGAGTGCTTAAAGTGTTACTTTACCAGTGCCTAGTTTTGTTTCATTGACTGTTCTTTTCCAACATGGAGCCTTTGGATTATGTGATTTTTGTGTCAAGGTAATTTTATCTGTTTAAAAAGTATTAAATTAAAATTAAGTGAAATCTTTGCCATGAATATATTACTAGACAATACATTCTTCTATCAATGTCATTATCCTATCAAAGTGCTTTTAAGCTGTCTTAAGACAATTTTAAAATAAAAGAACATTGTTGAATTCAGTCACTGACAAATTTCTCTGATGTAAACTAATGATTCTGTTGTCCATATATATTGAATACCGATGTGAAATGAAACAGCCCATAACATATACAGTTTTGGTAGGGTCAGACATTTCTTACAGTGCTATTCAATCTGTCAGTGTCTCCCTGAATAAAATGTACAACACATTTTTCATTTGTCCACTAAAACATGCATCGAGAGATAAAAAAGTTATACCAGTTTACTGACACGAGCAGTTGAATGTATTGTTATCCCTTTTCGTTTGTGCTTGACAGATTTATGACTGCCACTTTCCCACTTTCGTTCTCCACTCATGGGTCCATTTGTACACAGAGGGATTATTTTATTGCTTAACAAACTGTGGAAGTCTAAAATAAACTAGGAACAATAAATAGCTTAAAATAAATTAGATTAGATTTCAAAAGTAATTATCAATATGGCGTTAACTGTTTATATATTATAACCAATCGCATATGAGTAGTAGTTTACAGACGTCTGAGAAAATGGATGAAAACTATGGATTTTAGAAGTTTAAAAGTAAGTAAATTTTATAAACACAGTGTCGATTAAAGAACATGGCTAAAAAGGTTCATAGGCTACTGGTTAATTTATGTGGAAAAGTAAAAATACTTAACTGTGCGAGAACTGTTAATAGAAATAGATTAGATCGTGGACAGACTAGCAAATATAAACTGATGTGGACGAAAAGACATGTAAAAAATAACTTTATATGGGTTTATTTGACGAGATAGATTTTTAATATAACCAATACTAATCACTTGGAACATGAAAACACCATATACAAATGATTTTTTTATAACACGATATTTTATTCCCAAGGTTAGAAGTCAGCAACAAAAAATAAGGTATGAAATATCATTTTAGACACTAGACATTTAACATTAAACATTCATTAAACATTCGCTACAGCTGGTCCATATAGATGGGAAGTGTACTTCAGTATCCAATAGTCAATGGTCCTACTAAGAGAGTTAATACAATCACAACACAATTTAATAATCAAACATCATAGTTAGGTATGATCCAATGGTATGATTTAGAGAAATTATTATATTGTACTATTTTATTTGTTATCCACACATTAGACCTTGTTGTATTTTAGTAAGTATTTTATTTCAACTCAGTACATGATAAATATAGCACTTACTCTATTTTTTTTGCGAGTTCCTTTCCATATCGTTCCTTTACAAGTAGTATCTCCATCTTACGCGTTGTTTGTTTATTCATTGAGTCTATGACCAATGGTGTGGCAATTTCTTCCATTAATATACAAGCTACTCTTGCTCAATCTAGAAAATTTGATCTAATAACATTATGATCCTAGTTCCCCCTTGATTTTCCTGTAATCTCTCCAGAATAAATATATAGTTTCAAGTCATCCTTAATTTTTTTACAGTCTTTTTGGATACATTTATATTTGATTTATTCTTCAGACAATTAGAAAGTATTTTCAACATAAATTCAACGTGGGTAAACGTACTGTAAGAGTCACGGGTGATGTCTTTTACTGCCTCGACTGTTTAGCTAATGACATCGAGGGGTAAGTACCAACACTCGCGATGATACTGCCACGCCAGGTTTGAATGTGGATCGTAATTTATGGACCATTTAACGCGGTGCTGCTTGGTGGCCGTGTAGACTTGTAACTAATGGTGAATATAAATCTTATTAAATTTCTCGTAGCTTTGAATTATTATTTGCGATCTCAAGACCTCGTGTCAAAAGTACTTTATACGTGATGAGAAGTTTTTCTAGAGAAATATTGGTTCAATTATGCTGTGTTTGAACTTTTATGAACAAACGTAGTTAATAAAAGGTTACATTACCTGCAGACTGCCTTGTGGGTTTTGTTAATCCAGTAGGATTACGTACGTTTCGGCAAATATATTGCCATCATCAGATCCCAGAACTTGAAGGTTAAAATCTTGATTTTTCGACACACATGGTCACGTCAAAGTTTAAAATAGAACACATACACAAAACGAACATTAAATACATGTAGGCCTACTATTAAAAAACCGAACAGGATGTAATATGATGCACGCATCTCTCTTGCCGAGTCTCGACTGGTAGTCGTCAGGTCCTGTGAACTGGACTCTGACCCCAAGGCATCCTGTATCATAAGTGTCGGTCTCTGTCCAGTTGTATTAAAGTTTCAAATAATAAATTTGATTGAAGTGTACTTTTATCATTGAGTAGGTCCTGAGGGCGGGTTTTTGTGGCCTTGTAAATTTCGTAATTTTCCAGAGTTGTCATAGTTGTTCCTTTACAGCAGATATGTAACGCTTTTAAATTGTTACCTAAATCAGTGTAATTATGATTTTCGTTCACAAGATGTTCTGCGAAATTTGACTTTTGTGACTTAGTAGCTCTGGGAAGATGTTCTTTAAACCTTTTTCCAAAGGATCGCCCTGTTTGACCTATGTAAATTTTATCGCAGTCATTACATGAAACTTGATAAATTCCGGTTTTCTCTTGTAATTCCTTAACATTTTTTCTAGTGTTTAACATTTTCCCTAATTTATTGCTTGTCCTAAATGCTAATACTTTGCCATGTTTTTTTATTTCATGTTTGAGAGACATAGGAAATGAGCTGCCGTATTCGAAAACAACTACATTATGAAACGTAGTTAAAATACAGAAGTAAATTAAAAATCGTTCACTTCGTAAGATATGTTGAATAACTTTTTTAATTGGTCGCCAGTCTCTTTTAACTTTACATTATTGTCCGTTAACATGGGTTTCAGTGCTTGAAGTATCAAGGAAAAAAAAGTGAACTGATTTAGTACCAGAAACAAATAGTACCTACTGATAAATACATATACGGGGTGTGTCATCTGGACACAAACCCAGGAATCACTGTCTTCTCAGGCCATTTCGCTATCAGAGAGCACAGAATATAAAATTCTGTGCTCTCTGTTCGCTACCAACAGAGCTACTAAACTACTATAACTTTTCGTTTATTTATTTTATAGCATTAAATATTTTTGCGATGCCTGATGGCAAGGTATTGTGCGTGGTAAATTATTTTCCCTCGATGGCTTTTCCTAATGAACTCTAAGTCTTTATAGGAGATTTAGCATCTTAGGTTTAACCTCGTGAAGGGTACAATAGTTTTGTTTTATTTTGTAAATTGTTTCTTACAAACATAATAATATATATAAAGTACATAATTTATGAGTTGACATACTTAACCTGCCTGACTTACTTATACCTCCTTGTTTCTGTATTCCTTTTAGGAATTTAGGGCAACAATACCACACATTCGCTGAAAAAGGATTTTCTGATGGTTGTAGGATTACTAGGAGAACTATCGCTCTGTATTTACTCTTGTAGGCCTATGTCTTTATAAGCAAATTAAAGTTAAGTTTTTGCTTTTCCCTGTCATCTTATGGAATCTTTTCCAATATTTGTCCGTTTACAGTGTATTTAGGTCCGGTGAGAGTATTGCCGATCCACCCAAACACGGTTTGATTTTTACCGTTTTTTGATCCTTTATTTGAGTTTTTTTGTTATTTTTATGTCAGTGAATGATAAATATTCTTCTGAGATACTATTTGTTAATAAACACAAAAATTAGACTATGAGGTCACTCGTCTTACATGTGCTTCTAAGACTTTTGGTTTACTCAATGGATTTAAAAGTTTAATATTAATCAGAGTTTTTTTTTTTACCAGAGATTCAGTGATTACAAAAAATCTTTGCCATACATTTATTAATGATGTGGGAATAAATTTACCAATAGTAATAAATCAAACAGTGAAAATAGACATCAGCGTTTTCAAAATTTAATTTTAAAACAAAGCATGTTATAACATTTAAGAGTTGGGGCAGTTGTATTGATTAGAACCTTAAATATTCATAACAACATGTCAAAACAAATCATCGCAGTAGAAACAAGATTAACATTAAATAAGTGACGCTGATTGGGATGAAAATATACAATTGTGTTTGTCCATGGAGTAATAATCGGTATAATTACTAGCCTAAGGGAGATTCGTGATTACGTAACTGATTAGGTATAGCCTGACCTCTGTATCGGACGTCCACTGGTAACTGTGCGCATGTAATTTTATATATATATTTTTAAATATTAACGTTTTTATGAAATTAAAGTTCCAAACAATTTATTAAGGTAGTAAGCACCATTATAATTTTAATAATGTACAATGCTTGTAGTAGGTAGGGATTTTTATTATTTGAAAAGGTATTCAATAAAATACTCATGAATAATCAAAATGTTGTTAAGTAAAATTGTATTTTTAAATATATGCTATTAAATTAATGTCACACTAATATTTTCTCTATAACTAAATATCGGGTTGCTTGATATACCCAAAGTTAGAATGTGAATTTATTTTCTCATGGGATAAAATAAAAAAAAAATTCAGCATTAATTTTTGGTAATAATACAGTGAACGTGAATCAACATCTAACACCAGAAATATTTTATACCAATATGTTATACCAATATGGGGAACAAATTATTTAGTCTTCTACTGCATACAGGGCTAAAGGGCTGTATGATGAGATCGTCCTCTATCAAAACCTTAATATAATTTTTTATGTGTATGTATTATATCAAATTGTAATTTAGTTTTTAATTTTTATTTGTTTACATATTACATTTATTTATATTTATGTGATCGTTTTTGTCAACATTTATATTTTTGTTATTGTGTCTGTGTAGTAAGTACATTATTGGGGTAACTCAATTTTTGAGTAACGGTTAATTTTATGCAAATGCAAGGTTCATAGTTTAATCTATTAAAATCATGTCCTTTGTAATTGAAGGTTCTGTTCCTGGATACGATTA